TACATTCTGAAAAATGTATCTAAGCAGTTCATTGTTCAACCATTAGAGTGAATTTATACATATCTAGATGGTTTAGCCTACTCACACCTAGACTATAGTCATTGTATAGGACCATTGTCATATATGCAGTACATCATTGAATAAAATGCCATTTACGTGGTGAATAAGTATATATCCATAATCAATTTTAAAAGTTTGCTTAATAACAAAGATAGTCATCTTCTTTTTAAAAAAGATTCAGAAATCTGAGACCAACAAATCTCTTTGTAAATTACCACGTGCTGATGAAAGTTCCTGTTTTTCCCCCTATTTAGACTAGAGAAATATAGAGGGTTTTTGATATTTATTTACTTTCAAATAAGAAAAAATTCTCTTAATAGTGTTAAATTTGAAGTTCAGCCTGTTCTGTTTTTCATAAAATATTATGTACCAAATCCCAAAGCTCTTCATATTCTTTTTCTTTTAGTTATTGGGAAAAATGCTTTATTTGGATTGACACCTCATATACTCTGAGTTTAAGAAGTTAGCATTATCTGAGAAGTCACTATTTTTAGGTCCAGCTGTAATGTTTCTAACTTTGGTACTTGGAGTAGTGGGTGCTCTCTTTCCCAGAAGGCTCTGTTTTCTCAACATGTGCAGTTCAATTTGACATAAAGCTACCTACAAGGAGCTACAGGTCCATTGCAGGTTCTGTTTCTAAACTGAAAATTATGAACAGGTATTGGGAGCCACAGGCTGTATTTGGGAACCAGCTGCATGTCAGGACAAGCACGGATTGTGATCCCTGGAGGCTTGGAGAGCACAATGTTTGCATTTAACTTCTTTGGGAGATAAGAAGAAAAAAATACCTTTCTACCTGACAGTTTATTAAGTCTGACTATCTTCGGAAGTGTGCTGGACAGTTGCGAAGTAAACATTCACTTTTCAAAGATGATGATCAAGGAAACATCTCTACGAAGGGACCCGGATTTAAGGGGAGAGTTAGCTTTCCTGGCAAGGGGTTGCGATTTTGTTCTCCCCTCACGGTTTAAGAAGCGGCTAAAGTCATTTCAGCAAACACAGGTTTGAAACTTGGGTGTTTATTTTAAAATATTTTGTTACTAATAAAACCACCCAGTGAACTAACTCACAAATTATTTTGTAGCTAACTCACAAATTATTTTGTAGCTCACTTGTATCTTGATATTAGATCAAGGAATTAATCTGTGTCCTCTATTCAGCTATTTACAGAAAGCTATTTGTAGAGGGATTCCAGGTTTAAAAATAGACCTTCTGGACCTGGAGTACAGTACTCCTTTTTTTTTTTTTTTTTTTTTTTGAGAAAGGGAATCTAGTTTTAAAGACAATAAATACAACTTAACAAGTATTTTACAGTGTAGCTAGAGGAATACCAGAATTTTTAGTGAAAGTATCTTTGAGAAACTAGGATTTCTACTTTAAAATCTTTGTTTGCCCTTTGACTACATAGACTATGTTTGTATTAACATCTACTGCATATGTAATGAGTCTTTGTTTAAAAAGAATATTAATCCTGGTCATCTCTTTTAAAGAAAGAAGTATTTTATATGTAGCCAACTGTGCATATGTGTATATAATATAATGTATGTATGTCAATAAGGATGCCAGTTCTACAACATGAAAAAAAATGTCTTCCTTCAGCAGACTATGAGATTGAGTCATTCTGCCTGTAATGACTACTTTGGAGAGTTCCTTCTTTCTTCTGGCCAATGTCTCACTAAACAGGCTGCCTAGCTTGTACAGTACAAATGAAGATCTATGTAAGTGCTGGCCATCCAAAATCCATCAAGAAACTAGTTTCATAGTTACTCTGACCCAGAATATTTTCAGATTATTTGGATGAACCTTCTGAAAGGTGGTTTTGTAGAATTGGTTTGTAAATCAGAAATCACATGTATTGAAAATGCTACAGTGACATAATAGTCTAAGGTTACTATTTAGAATGAATATTTTGAATTAATATGAAAGACTGAAATGGAAAATTGAGATACTTTACACAGCAGATTCTACTTTAATGCTGCTCCTAGATTGAATTGAAACAACTCAATTCGAAGTGAGCAGATGCTAAACTTGCCAGTGAATCTGGCAAAATTTATATTACTAGGTTTATTCTGTAATGTTTGTAAAGAGTCAGTTTTATTAAGCTACATTAGTATTTATATCATGTGTTTCCTATTGAACTAAACAGAAAGTAAACTAATGCACCCACAAGGTCAAAATAAATGTACCTTATATGTTATTTTCTTTTTAAATATTAACATCAATTTTACTAAATATGTGATTAACTAATGAATTATATAAATAACATACTTAGTAATGAATTACTCCATGTTAAGAAGTACACCAAGAAAAGCAAGAATATTACATAAGCAAATATTTTCTCATTCAAATAAACACTCTCAATAGATAGCCAGTGTTTATTGGAAATGTTACTTATTTCTGTCAAAGCAAAAGCAGAATCAACATTGGAAGCCCTGTTCTAAACCCTCCCCACTAGTGTGTGTTCATGAAGGTATCTGGTTTCATGTCCACAGGCACCAGTAGTCTTAATCCTATGGTTATAACAGCCCTGAAATTATCTATAACTGCCCTTGACATTACATCATGGAAAACATTTTGGGAAAACAAAAAATGAATTTCAATGATTGCATGGTTGTAGTCAAAATTTCTGCACAGAACAGTGGAAAAGAAATGGCACTAATATATTAGATTGTCAGGAAAGTCATGACGTATTTTTCTGTTTTTCTATGCAAAAATGTGTCATGACTTTCTCAACAACCCAATAAATGACTTGGTAAAGGCCCCAGAGAATTCTGTGCCTTACTTTATTTTTTATTATTTTATATTTATTTTAATATTGCATTTAATCACATATATCTTCACAGTGTGTAATATTTCTCTTTCCAGCACAATTACTGTGCATATCAGTCAAGACAAAGACATTACTATACACATCATCATCAGCAAATAGCTTTTCAATTTTTTTGTCAGTTAAGCACTTTTTATTGACTCATGGGACTGTAATAATATTTGTAGATTTAGCATTAAGGCAGAGAAAAACGTTTGATTATCAATTTTTTAAACCAAAAGTGATTTGTAATCTTAAAATTGCTTTATAAATGTAAATGATCATTTTATTATTGAATCTGAAGAACCATGGCCAAATTATGTCTACCCTAATCTTTAGAGAATCCCCATCCTTTGGCTTCCTCATTCATTTTCTCATATGAGGACAGATCATATCCAGCAATGAACCTTTCACCTATATTATACCCTATAATTTTCTTTAATCTTCACAATCTTCCTAAGAAGTAAGGGATTGTAATTTCTCTTTCATAACTGAAATTCCAAAAAGGTAAGTAACTTTTCCTGTGGTCACAGACCAGTAAGCCATTACTATTATCTGTTAAATTTTTCATATTTCATTGGCATCATTTCTCTCTGTGCTATTTCTTCCTTGACTGTTGCTCTGTATGGTGACATCTTGATACTACAGCAAAGGCTTGGTATGGCAGCTGACTTTTGTGTTCTCAATAGTATTAATGTATGAGCAGACTCCACATAGGAAATGAGCCCTGTATAACAAAAGTAGATTTAACCATTTTCATCACATATTTATGTGAGTGAAGCTTATCTCCCTAAAAATTAAAAAACTCATGCATTTTAAGGGTAGTCTAGATTTTTATCCTGCATATTAAATCATGATATAAACCTTTATATCAAGAGGAAATATGATATTCAGATTTACTTCTTATAGATAAATCATTGTTCAAACTTTAAGGATAGTATTAAGAACATTTGTGTAATATTTTGTGTTCATAGTGAATTTAAAATAAATTTAGCTAGTAGGGCCAGCAGTTGGCGTGGAGGTTAAGGCACTAGATTCCCACCTGGTCAACTACATGATTTGAATCCTGGACCCAGCAGCTTGAAAATCATGGAACCACGTGTGTGTATACCCAAACTCCCAAGGGGAGACAGAATGAGAAGAGATTGTGGCATGGTCAGTACCCCTAGGGGGCGATTTCTCACTCTCCTCCATCTCCTGCTCTGGCAAGCGCATACACCCTATAGCAAGAATAAAATAAATAAATTTAGCTAGTTAGCAGTCATGTCTGTCTTTCATACTTTATGTAGCATCTAATACAGACATACTCTTGCGTTTTCGTAATTAATGTGATCATTAGTTAAGAGTAGAAATTAGAAATGAGGAAATCTTTATGTTTTTTTGTTTTTTTTGTTTGTTTTGGCTAGAAATCTCAGAACTAAATTTGGTTTAGTTGGAATGAAGTTGATGATCATGGTCCTTTCCTATCTGAGTATAGCAAAAATGAGATAAACATGTATCTTGGGGAAAAAATGGCATATCCTGGATGGTAAATAAATCAGGCAGGTAGAGGACATTCCAGAATGAAAATGCGTTAATTTTCTCAACAAAGATTTTCTAGCATCAGATTGTTGCACTGATTCCATATTAGCAGTCAAACTAGAGAAGAAGGGAAAGGAGCCTCCCACCTCACCACACACATAGATACATTTCAATTTTTTTTTTTTAAATTTTGGTTTTGTCTGTTGAAGAAGAGATAGAATTTCACAGGAAAGACTAAAAACAGTTGGAAAAGAATTTACTAATTCTGTTCCAGTGGACTGAGAATAGCTCTTGAGATCTTTAATATATTAACCAACATTGCTGTTTGATTATTTTGAAATCTTTGCCTAGTGGTTAATGGAAAGATATACTGCAGCATTTAAAAAATAAGTTATATAAACTCAGGTATTGTCACTTAATATATTTGTTTGTTTAATATGGATACGCATTCTCTAGAAACATGCTTTCTGCCTTCTAGAGTGAGCTTTTCCTTTCTGCTGTCTCTAATTGTGGTTTCTTGTATTTATTCCCAACTTCCTACTACTTGTGAGTATTCTTGAAAAATATATACTGTTGAGAATTTTTGTGTCTCATGATTACGTTTTCTTTCTAGATACAAAATAAACCGGAAAAGAAATCTGGAACATCACTTCCACCTTCAGCCACCTTTCCAAGTAGTCCCCAACCTCTCTCCTCTGTTCCTCATGTGAATAATGTGAATATACCATTGTCCATAAACATTCCACGGTTCTACTTTCCTGAAGGACTCCCAGATACCTGCAGTAACCATGAACAGACTCTAAGCAGAATTGAAGCTGCTTTCATGGATATTGAAGATCAGAAGGCAGACATTTATGAAATGGGGAAGATTGCAAAGGTAATATAACTACTGAATGATTTTTAATCTTCCTTTCTCTAGTGACTCCAGTCTCCTCCTCTTCACTGTCTCTTTGTGCTCTGTTTATAAGCATGCATTTTTTTTCCATGTTAAAGAAATTTATTTGATCCTGATGTATCTTTAGCTGGTCTTCTATTTATTTCTGTCTTTTCTTTTAAAGAATTATTTTATTTAACTTCATTCATTCATTCATTCATTTAAATTGGACCAAAAAGGGGAAAGAGAGAACAAGAGAGAAAGTGACAAAGCAAGCCACCAGATCTGGGACTCGAACTACGCTCAGCTATGTGGGAATCCAGAGCCTTTAATCACCATGCCACCTGCCAGCCCTGGTCTTCTATTTCTTGAAATCCTTAATGTTGGAAAAACCCTCAGTGGTCTTTCAGTCTAACCTTCCAGTTAATATAATTGGCTTGTCAAAAAAGTCATGACACTTTTGCATAGAAAAAAATACATCATGACTTTTCTGACAACCCAGTAGAAATTATTTCCAAGACATCACAAACTCATAAATTCATTCTCTACTTGAATACTTTCAGTGACGAGATACTCACTACCTTGCCAAGCAGCCTGTTCCATCATCAAATAGCTTAATTTTTTTAGAAAAAATTTTCTTGTGTTGACTTGGAATCCCTTTTTTGTTCCCACCCACTGACCATACTCTGCCCTAAAGCCAGACAAGGAACTATTTAGGCCATTTCAACGCTGTCATTTTACCCAGAAATAAATGGATTTGACACTAGAAAGCATGTCTTTCATACTTTCCAGTATATTCAAGTTCTGATTTAAGATCGTAGCTCCCTCATGTCAGGACTGCTGCAACTGGATTCTATATCTCTAGACCTCCTCCCAGGTTAATTAATGCTCAGGATGACCATCACATTATATTTGATCTTGCCATTTCCCAGCTCAGCAATAGTCAGGGATTCTTACCCACTATGGCAGTGCTTTGTTTTGTTTGGATTTGATTTTTATTTTTATCCTGTACATATGTTGAAGAGTCAGATCATACCTCAGGATTTAGCAGTGGTTTCAGGCTGTGCTTCAAAAGCCAGTTTAGGAAGCTAATATCTACATGGAGACAAGTAGAAGACCAAGTGGGAGTACCCGAGACCCCCTGCACACTTCCACTGGGAAGAGTTCTTCTGTTTGGGGGAATAATGCCTAAAAGTTTGAAAACTTACTTTCTTCAGGAAAGAACCCAAACTTCTCTTCTTGGCATTCCAGGGCCTCTACTGTCTGACCCCAGAGGTCCTTTCCAAGCTTGCCTAACACTGTTTCTTACATGAGAATGATCCTTTACCCTCTCACAGACACAGCTCTGCATTTAAGCTCTCACAGCTTTGCCCTCTAAGATGGCCTTCCAGTCCTGTCTATTTCCAAGGCATCCACTTTGAAGACCTACCGTTCATCATTACCTTGTGGGAGAAGTCCCTGAACCCCACCTCCAGTCATACCCTGTCCTCTCCCCTATCTCTTACCTCACAGAATGTTTGTCATGTTTGTTAAATGGTTTGGAACTAGAGTGATTTTAAAGGAAATGGTCTTTCTTCATCCCTCCATATTAGAACTTGCCTATTGATCCATTAAATGTTTCTAATGACAAACAAACTCATTCTAGAAAGAAAATTTTTCCATGTCTCTCTGTCTCTTCGGGTGAGTGCACACACCCATGGCAAAAACAAAAAACTAGCATCGCATATAAAATTAGGTTGAGGAAAAGGGGAAAATGCTAGGCTATATGTATAATGACCTCAGAAGATACCGTGAGTGTGTCAGATTGTTTTGTTTTGATACTCTTTAGCGTATTTCATTGCTTTTGCCTCTTTATTCTTAAAACCATTTTTTTAAAAGTTTCCTTAATCCAGGTAGCTAATTCTCATTTAATCCATTTTTAACTTGGTTATTGCAGTCTGTTCGTACTACCTCATCCTTATTTTCTACAGTTCTTTACACTGCAAGTTCTTTTTTGCTACTGGGCAGTGAACCCCGTGTCTCCAGCACCTACTCTTCACATTCTTAAAAATGACTGGCATAGAAAAAGAGAGGAGACACATCCTTTAAGGGACAAGGAGAGCAGAGGTTGCCAGAGCAATAAGTGAATGTTTTTCTGGGTTCTTGTACTTTACAGAACTCTTTGCAAGGCCAGCTTGAGTTTGCACCTACTCACAGTAGTGCCTAAGTGTAGCTGTCATGGCTGGGATCTGGTTTTTAAATGCAGAATAAACTGTGTTTCTCAAATCTGCATCTGTTGGTGATGTTGAGCTCGTTCATCTTGGATCTCAAATAGCCCTGGAATCCTATTGCCCATGTTGGTTAAATTCTCAGTATGTAGTTTTGTACTTTTTTCCACAGCCTTAAGTGATAATGGTGAGGAAATGAATAGGTGATGAATCTAAGGGACAAAAGCAGTGTGCAGTGTAGGAACAGAAACCGAGGAATTCAAAAAGCACCAACCAGAGACTGGGCCAGAGGATTCATTGTGGAATTTTAACTTCTACCACAAAGTTGAAAGAAAAAAAGGGAAGAAAGCTCTATCTGAAGCATACAAAGGTCTTGGCACTCCTCTTCTGAGATAGCATCTTGACCCCATATTCATGCCTGTGTCCTGAAAGTAGCTTCTCTCTACCTGAATTTCCTTGTATACAAAATAGGGTAAAAATACCTGCCCTCTCCTCCCTGGGGATCAGTCAGGACCAAATGAAATAGCAAGCAGGAAACAGTTTTTAAATGTTGAAAGAATATTATAGGTACTGGCTAATCATTTTCTGTATGCATTATTATTAGACAGCTGTGCTTTCAGTTCTTTCTGTTGGGCAATTCTTAGGCCAAATTATAGGAATGAATCAAGTTTTCCTTGCACCAGTGACTTTGACTACCATACCTTTTACTCTTGCTTCCTCTTCTAAGCATGTTTCCTAAACCCATTTTCTGTATCTATCTCTCATTCTCTGTATCTCCCTATTCCCATTTATTGCCCATTTTCTTCCTTTGCAAAAAAAAATAGTCTTCACACTGAATTGTTTTATCTGTCAGTAAAAGTTCTAGTCTTTGCCGTCTGATTTATGTAATTTACATTTTAGGTTCTTAGTGACCTTATGACTCCCTTTATCTTAATTATTTGATTTTTAAGCAGATGCAGACCAGAGGCATACTTTTTTTTTTTTTTAATTAAAGTATAGTATCCCCAGCCCTTGCCATTCACTGCTCTCTCCATTTCTTTTTCTTTGGCATTTTCTCCAAGGGCCTGATACTGTTATGCCACGTAACACTTGACTACTCAGGGTACCCCACCACTCTGAGGAAAACAGACTCACCTACCTACTTTAAAACTTTTTCTTTTTATGGGGCCATCAGGTAGAGTGATGGTTAAGGTGCTGGACTCCCACATGGCCAACAGCAGTTCTAATCCTGGACCTGGCGGCTTGCCATTACGCTAACTGCTGGTCTCAAAGTCAGATAATTTTTAAAAATGTCTTTCTCTATGTTATTTCTTGGGATTTTTGCCTTTGGGCATAATTACTTTATTAATCCCTTAGTGACTTACTACTCTTAGGAGCTGACATATATCCATTTTAACCGGAGTCTTCTGAAGAAAAGACCTTAATCCAGAGAATGAAAGTCGTTTAATAGCAGAAGTTGACCCATAGAAAGTGGGAAGCATTTCAGAAGCTGGTGACCCCTTCCAAGATTGAACTAGAAGACTTCTAATCCTTTCCAATCCTTTCTAAAAAATTCATAAGTAACTCTAATGGTGGAAGTTTCAAGTCCTTTGGCAAGCCACTTCTAGTCTTTCTCTGTACTTTCACTGGCTCCCCAGTTCCAAGTGCAATAACCTATCAGTAAGACTTTCTTAAGAGCATTTTCTTTGGGCCAGCAGGTGGCGTGGTGGTCAAGGCATAGGACTCCCACATGGCCAAACACAATTCAAGTCCCAGACCCAGCAGCTTGCTTTCACATTTTCTGTCTAATGTGCGTGCACATGTGCCTATCATAAATTTAATAATAATAATAAATAAAATTCATTTTAATGACAAACTACCATTCTGCATAAAAGGACTGGGGAAAGTAGATTTGACAGTTTACATATCCAAAGTATATTTTTTTTTATCATCATATCTTCTTCATATTACATTGGATTACATATAACTTTACAGTGTATTACATTGTTTCTTCAAAAGGGAATGCCATGCACGTCAGTCAGTACAGAGACATTAATCTCCCCACTTCAACATTCCATATCTTTTCTGTTTTCCCCAATCATTATCTTTATTATTCTAATTATTTTTATAAAACAGTCAATTGCTATTTCTCGTTTTGCTTGTAAAAATACTTTGCCCATCATGAAACACTTCTCAGACCAATCCAGTTGAGAATTCTATACATGTCATCATCAACAGTTAATAAACCCTATCTGTTTCTCACTGACGTCCTGTCTCTCTATTGCTCACTTGCTATCTTTCTCTATCCTCTTCTCTTCACTTACCCCATTCCACACTGTCCTATTCTCATTAAGTACCTTCACTTCAAGAATGGTAGAGTAGTTCCTGTTCTTCCCTGAGGCAATGCAGGGCTGGTAACCATCATCTTCTCAAGTTGCAAGTTCTCAGACCTTGTTTTCCGCTTCAGCTTGCTGGTCCAAAGGCCACACGCCAGCCCTGGAGAGGCAGCTGAACGCCGGGGCATGAGCCC